TTCAAAAAGTATCATAGCGTCAGTAGCCTAATGGCAGGGCGCGGACCGCGAACTCGGAAGGTCGTGGGTTCGATTCCGCCATTCGACTACTGTCGTGAACCACTTCTAACATAAGCATTTTAAGCTTACCAGAAGTGGTTAAAGGAAATATTAGTAATGTTTAATTTATTTATAAATTAAACATTACTAATATTTTTTTATAAAAAAATTCTTCTACACTATAAAAACTATTTTCCAGAAGATACGACCTCAATCTGCTTTTAAGTTGGATGATATTTGTTATGCATTTTAAATCATTTGGCAATTTGTTAAATAGTCTGACCGCTTGATTTCTTGCACAATGTTTAATTATGTGTAGCTGGCTGTATCAGGTTCGCAATATCTTTTCGCCTAGTGTCGTGACGCTTTACTCTTTCTTCTGCGGTTTCATGTCTGTCTAAATGCTTAACAAGGTCTGTAAGAAGAGCTAGAATGTAAAGACATTGCGCAGTAAGTATTTTTAGGTGTCGCATGTGTTCTCGGCACGACTGTCTTTGGGGTATACGCACCATTGTTTTTATTGCTCTCTTTTGTATAATAAATGCCTTATAATATACCATTTTTAATTACTTCATTGTTAGCTCCTCTCTTAAGCTTCGTAAAGCATAATATGAATATGATATTTTTTTTCTATGAAATTTATAATAATGTAATATTTTTTTCCAATCAAGAAGAGAATCTATATGCATACTCAAAGAATTTACAGAATCTACAGTGGATATACAGTCATTATTTAATTTAATATCCAAGGTATCTCTTGATCTTGCAGTAGATTTACGATTATTATTTCGATGTTTAGATAGATTGTTTAGATGTTCTCTAAAAATGGTATTGTTCATCTCGTTAGACACTCTTAGTTCCTTCAATACAACTGTGTGATCTTTACTTTTTTGACCTCGGGATTGAAGAGAAACATTGCAAACAATTGCTGCATGCCCATCTGAAATACCATTGTGATCCACTTTCATGTCATTAATATAAACATTGGGGAAATTCGTTATGAAGTAGTCCAAACAAGATTGTACACTGCCCTTAATATATGTCACTGCAGATATTAGTGATCTAAAATTGTAACATTTAAGCAGGGACAAGAACTCTGACCGTTGTTTCGTGTCATTCAGCAAATCAATGTTGAAGTCTCCACAAATTATGCATTTATTACTGAAGTTATATTCCAATAACTTCTCCAATTGTTCTATAAAAGCACTGAAGTATTTATTATGATTCATATAAATACTGATCAAGTTAAGTTCTGTTTGCATATCCGTAATACCAAAAACCTCAGGATAGTCTATTTTGTACAATTTTTTACAGAAAACAGAATCAAAGAAATCACTATTTCCACTACCTAATTCTAGTCTACCTCCTCTAATCTTATTTGATGTTGTATTAGATGATAATATTTGATATTGTGTCAAGTTATATAATTCAACATTACTACTTTTAAAAAATGCTCAGTTATACATACATAACGTGCCTTCAAAGTATTCAGGGTTTCTAAATACAAATCCAATTCATCCTTTTTTGTTATTAAATCACACACATTTTAGTTCTATATAGAGATATTATATGACTCATCTTTTTCGGCCCTATTTATTAACTTACAATTAGAAGAAGTTTTATTCCTCGCATATCTTCCTTGTGGAATCAATTACCACCAGCGATTTTTCCAGACCGATACTACTTCGGGACCTTCAAGAAAACGCATCTGCAATTCCCCTGGTTTTGGAGTTGTTCATGAGCGGCGGTAGTGACTTACTATCAGGTGAGCCGCATGCTAGTTTGTCCGCTCTTCTATGAAAAAAAATGTAACTCAATTTGTTGTAGCTGGTCTACATGAGTAGACTGATTATCTCTGAACAAGGAATTTTCTGTGCATGATAAAACACTAATTGGTTTGTGTTGCTTTGAAACGAAAAATGTTTTTATTCAGATTTTCAAAGGTGTTTATGATGGCCATATTATTAATTTTTCCCGTCATCTTATAACACATATAAAAAAACAAATTTAAATATGAGTCGAAACAGTGAACATTTCTAAGATACTGTAAGCTATAACTCAGAAAATTGTTGAATACCTCCACCCTATAGTTATTAGGTGAAGTTAGCTTGCCCTACTCATTTGAATAACACCAAATTTAAATACACATAAGACGTAATATGTAGAGTGGGCCTCTACATACTTTGATACCTATAAATTATTGTAGTTAGCCTACAATAATTTATACAAAAATAAATTTATTTTTTACACAAATATCTCACTTAGAACCTTTTCGAATGAGGCATAGATAATAATACACCTTGAACGAGAATTCATTTGGGAATCTTGCAAGATAGTTTTGATATTTAATTATTGTTAAATCTTTATAGACTAAGAAAACTACTAATATAATAAGTTCTTGCAACAGTCCACTACTGCTTCAGCTTATTCTTAGAATAACTTGCCACAACTCCTGCGATTAGAGGGTTCTGTGTTTCCATTCAGATAACTTGTTTTCATTCTGTATCGACTCTATAAACTTATAAGCGAGCGAATATTTACGTATTAATTGTTTAATATTTTACTTACATTGTTAAAACATAGTATACAATTAAATGTAACTAAAAGTTTATACACAATATTACAAAAAAAAAACTAACTAAAAATTTAAATTTTCATACGGTCCTATTCCCCGCGATATCGTGCCAAGAACGCTGGCTGCGTTTCCTCGCTGAATGGCTATACCTACTTAGCCTTTGAGCGAGAAAATAACCAGCCTTCCAATCGTCACAAGCGACGACCAGTCGCGGATACAGTTCCTTCAGGAATTTTATCGCACGTGGACCCCACGGACCGATAGTCTCTACAGAAAATGGCACAAATATGTAGTCATCTCTCAATGACTTATATTTACGCCTCTTACTTAACTTTCTTTCTTACTTAATTAAGCTGCCTTTGATGCCGCCCTGACTTTAAACGAGGTACTCTTAAGTGTCTATGCAAGTAGCATCGCACACTAGGGCTTTACTTCTCTCCCAAGGGACTAAAGTCATACCGTCTGGTCTCTTGCCATCGTCTATAAATATTCCATAAGGCTCTAAAACCGAGGGAACATTAATAGAAACAAGAGCTCTTCGGATGACATCGTTCAAAGAACCGTGACAGGAAAACCTACCAGCACTTTTCTTACATGAAAGTCCGTAGAGCCCAAACTCGTCGACGCTGCTACCACCGGGCACTGGTGAGGTTGACAAATAGCCGCTCCTAGAATTTAGACGGATTCCTACGGCGATGCGCAAACTTTCCCCATCAAACAATGCGCCGAGATTACTTGATGGTAAAGTGCCAGTGACTAGATTCCTTACTCGAAACAGTTAGAAGGCGTGCCCGTTCTTAATCATTATGGAAATTATGAAACATTTTCTTCTACACACTCCGTACCAAAGGAATATCCCACTGTTTTTGTTGGTTAACTTCTAGTAGAAAATTTTCGCTGGGACAGAGCATCAGCCATGTTTGCCTTGCCTCCGCAACAAAGCATAGGTCTAATTTATTATTTAAAACTAGCTGTTCCCCGCGACTTCACCCGCGTGTAATTTATTACGATTAGATTTCATGGGTTTTAATTTTTTTGCGCGGAACCCTAATTCTTTTTCTAAAATAAAAGTAGCCTAGGTTACTCCTTATAATATAAGCTATCTGCCAGTGAAAGTGGCGTCAAAATTGGTCTAGCCGTTTCGAAGATTAGCCGGAACAATCAGACAGACGGACAGACAGAAAGACAGACAAAATTTTAAAAAAATGTGTTTTTGTTATAAATATGTACCGTATGTACTTTCATATGCATTTAGTAGAAAGCTGTTACTTTGACATTACAAACAGACACTTCAATTATATTTATTTGTATGTATTAAGTAATTTATAAGTCACTGACATTATGCATGGAAGCAAGGAAAGCGGACAATGTACCTAACGTTAGAAAGATTTCTTACACCAATGCCACCAAATTTTAAAGGTAAAGTAGCTTGAGTCCAGGCTGTTGTATTTAAAGTTAAATTTAGATTTTTTCTAAAGCTATTTTAAGATTATTATAAATATCTTTTTAAATTTCCGCCCATTTCCAGACTGGAATCGAGCGTAGTATGTATGTAAATTTAGGTACCTAAAAGAAGACCATTTTTTAAAATAGTAAGAGAAATGTGGGGGTTTAAGATATACAATTTATCAAGGTGATTTAAAAACGGATCAAGTTTTGTTTTTAAAACAGGTTATACATATTTTATTAGTAAGTAGTTACAAAATATATATATATGAGAGCAAAAAGTTACGTCACAAGTCTTATATAACAATGTTATGTAACTAAAAGTACTACTACAGACGTATAGATTTTTCTATTGTTATGCTTAACTCGGTGATTGGTTTTAGACATTTCCGTTTCTTTATGCAGATTTCGATAAGAATAGCAATAGACTTAATAAATGTCAAGGAAACTAAAATCGACCGAAAAACTACGCATGTGCGATAGATTTGACGATGCGAACTTCGTGCGAGCGAGGCGCGGCGGTCGATCCGAGCAGCGGCGAAAGCAGCCGAAGTCGAGCACGAGCAGTGGCAGACCATTTTTGTTAGCTGGGGTACGCGTTCGCACAGTTAAGTCAAGACGTTATTGACTATTTCCTTGAATAATTCCAGTAAATATTCTCGCGTAATGGCATAGAGTATCGACGAACGTGTAAAGTGTGTTATTTAAAACAAGATTCAAGTGACCAATCATTAAACTATAAGGGTAACGGACATGATGCCAATGAATGTTTCCGACATCCGTTGTTTTGATATGATAATTAGTGTTAATTAAGTCGCCGTGACGATATCTAATAAAAGTGTATATGAGAAGAGAATAAACAGTAACCTGCAAAGTATTTAAATATATTTAAAAGGTTAAATTATTCACTGAAAAAAACCGGAAATTTAATTTTCTTACAATGCCTATGACGATACAAGAAAATATTGCATTACTTAATATGATGTCTTCTGATAATCTTGATGATGAATTGAAAAATATTCAACTGCATAGTCCATCAGACAGACGATTGCAGAGCGACGGCGCATGCGTAGAGGAGAGGGTGAGAACTTCGCGTGGGGACATCATGGTGGCGGTCCGCGGGGACCGTAATAAACGCGCCATAATCACTTACCACGACCTTGGACTAAATTATGCTGCCAATTTCCAGGCGTTCTTTAATTTTGTAGAAATGAGAACCGTGTTGGACCAATTTTGTATCTATCACATTAACGCCCCTGGACAGGAGGAAGGCGCTAAGTCTCTGCCCGAAGATTATACGTATCCAACAATGGATGGATTGGCTTCCCAAATTGATTTTGTACTAGGGCATTTTGGCATACGTTCGTTTATAGGTTTCGGCGTTGGAGCAGGTGCGAACATCCTCGCTCGATATGCCATTGCCAGCCCCCAAAAGGTCGACGCGCTTGTTCTGATAAATTGCACATCCACCCAAGCTGGGTGGACCGAGTGGCTGTACCAGAAAATTAACACAAGACAGCTCCGTTCAAGCGGTATGACTCAGAGTGCTGTGGATTATTTAATGTGGCATCATTTCGGTCGAAGCACCGACGACCGCAACCATGACCTAGCTCAAGTATACAAAGAGTGTTTCTCCCACGTCAATCCAATTAACCTCGCCATGTTTATTGACGCATATATACGTCGCAGCGACTTAGGTATTTCGAGAGAAAATAATTCTATTAAAGTTCCTGTTCTTAACGTAACAGGGGCACTGTCGCCGCATGTTGATGATACGGTGACGTTTAATGGACGTTTGGACCCCACTAAGACCTCTTGGCTGAGTATTTCGGACTGTGGTATGGTTTTGGAAGAGCAACCTAGTAAGATTGCGGAAGCTTTCCGTCTATTTCTTCAGGGTGAGGGCTACTGCAGGTAGTCAGGATACCAGGAGCACAGAGCAACGCAGCGCTGCCATAATAGAATGCACTTGAAGCTTCTTTACACGCGAGCTTTGACACGTTTGTTGTAGAAACATTTGGAATTGTAGGGCGAAATTTTTAAACTTTGTTTTTAGATATATTTATTAAAAATAAATTTATTTTACGGCTTAAAGTATCTTATTGAATTCACCCAATTACATTCATTCTTGTAAATTAAAAGCAGTTCTTAAGACTTTCATATACATTAAAAGAAAAAGGGGCACACGTTTAGATTAATTACTCAAAGTTAGCACTTTCAAATGACTACTGCTCCAAAGATCAATTTTTCTTGGAAGTAAAGACTAGAAATGAGTTGGGGGGTGACTCGAACTTTAGGCCTAGTCAGTTTGAATAGCCTATCATGTAGAGGCTGTCATGGGGGTCATGGTTGAATAGGGGCAAAAAGTTCTCATTACACTCCTAGGGGGTCAAAATCGTCAAAAATCTAAAAATCTAAATTTCTTATTTCAGCTATAACTCTGCCTACTTGGGAGGTTCTTACACAGTCTTTTCTTCCCGCATCTCACTTGTTAACATATGTAATTTTTTAGTACTCTGAGACTTAATATTATCGAAAAAATGCTCATTTGACACAAGGTTATAAAATATATACCTATGTTACAGTTACGGACAAAACTATTTCCTTATATTTTTGACTAAAAGGAAGTTTGGACAAAATAGTTTTTGACTTAAAAATTATTGGAAAGAGATTTTCACCAAATAATTTAAAATTAAAAATTTTGTACAGCCGACTTCAATATAAGTTATTTAAGAATAACTTAAAAACTATTGGTCTGACCTTGATCAAATTCATATGGGACCACACGAGAAGTACCAGCTTTCAAATAAAAAAAGAATCATCGAAATCGGTTCACCCAGAAAAAAGTTCTGAGGTAACACACATAAAAAAAAAAACGAAAAAAAAAAAACATACAGTCGAATTGAGTACCGGCTCCTTTTTGGAAGTCGGCAGAAAATTACATTAAAAGTAACTCTAACCAAGACTGGAAGTTGATCACTTTGATCGGGAGAATTAAAAAGAAACTATTGTTAATTTACTGTGGCAGGGAGGGGGTATCTCTCCGTCGTGGTGGAGCCACGCTGCAGTTATATTATAGTTATATCACTAAGGTCGACTCGACCGGGATAGGATTGCGCTCTCACTGAATACCAGCGTAAAATGGCAGCTTAATGTTGCTATTTTTCATGTGGTCAGTGAACCTGAAATACTGTTTACTAGAAACAAGGTATTTCATCTTAGTCTAGGGGGTGGCACCGCTTACTGCATTTTGATTTATAATCGAAGACAGATGTAGACGTCTATGGGGTACAGCATCAACTTACCGTCAGGTGGCTGTGTGCCCGTTTGGCACTGTTATTATCTAAAATAATTAATCCCTTTTCTATTTATTTATTATATAATAGATACAAGGGTTACATCTATTTAACTTGCAAAAAACCGTGAGGTTTGTACGCAAGTTACAATTATTAAAAGACAGTTACCTACATACTATCTCAAATCAGACGGCTCTGTGGCGTAGTGACTTAGCAATGAGTTGTTGCGCTGGGGGCCGCGGATTCGAATCCCGCACGCAACAAGTATTTGTATGGCCTACAAATAATTATTCCGGCTTTGGATTTCTGTCCTCGTGCAATTTATGTTTGTAAACTGCCTCCGTGATACAGGAGAAAATCCTAGTGTGGTGGTAACGTTTTTTTTAAATAAATAAATAATAAATAAATTATATCTAGATTATTTTTATATGTTATATAATTAAGTGATGTGAACCCGCCACGTGCTCGGCAGTAAAGGAAAACATCGTGAGGAAACTTGCATGTATAAGTAATAAATATATTTAGAAGATATGAAAATTCACCCCCAACGTTGGAGTCACGTGGCGGACTAATTGCTCCTTTTACCACCCACATCCACCCTTAAAAATGGGAGAGGAGGCCTTTGTCCACCCGAGGAATGTACAGGTTGTAACTATTTTATGCACTTTTCAATCATTATAAGCCTGCAACTTTTTAGCTTATGAGCAGTTAATAAATCTTTTATAACATAATAAATTTCTTTAATATATACAATATTAAAAGCTATAATAAAAAAAAAACTTAAACTAGTAACTTAATTATCATACAGTCCTACTCCCCGCGGTATCGTGCCAAGAACGCTGGCTGCGTTTCCCCGTAGAATGGCTATACTTAGCCTTTGAGCGAGAAAAGAACCAGCTCCTATCACTAGCAGCAACGACCAGTCGCGGATGGAGTTCCTTTAGGAACTTCACCGCACGTGGACCCCACGATAGTCTCTACAGCAAATGGCACAATTATGTAGTCATCTCTCAGAGACTCATATTTGCGCCACTTATTTTGCCATCATAAATTATAATCAAAAATTAATAAGAATGTCACTCATATACATATGTCCATTAAGAGTTAATATACAACGTTAGCAGTCTTAAAACTATTTTAGCAACTTTAACGTTCTCCGCAAACACGGTAGATGTCTTTTTAAAGCCGCTGTTTAAGGTTTATATTTTCGCCCTTCGTTAAGTTTTCTTGTTAAGAGTTCAGCACAGTCCCCTATCATTCTTGAAAGGCCGTTAAAGGATGAAAGCGTATGCCGCGCTACCTCCGTTTTTTTTCCTAAGAGAGAAGCTCCTCCGTAGAGCACATGGTAAATTACCAGTTAAATTTGCAATTGTCAATTTAATTCGTGCAAACGGGAATCAAACGCGGTCTGCTTGCACTTTACGGAGTTTAGGGCGTGCGCTTATCCTCAGCGCTAAAACGGCTCTATCTATAATTTGCAGGAAAATTCCGACATAACTCCATCTATAAAAATAAATTAAAATAAAGTCAACAGCACTTTTTATTGCAGCTTTTACCACAATAAATTTTGTGAAGCTAAGTCAGCTATCGGGAGCTGACCTATTAATTTTTTAATATCGGTAATAAAATAAAAAATATTAATTGATTTTTAAGGAACCAATTTTAACGTTTGTCATTATTTGTTACAAATGAAAAGATTATAAAATGTTGCATAAAAAACTATATACTCTAAATATATGTATAAATATATATTATGTTTGTTGTTTTCACTTTATAATTCTAGGTCAACGGGAAGTACCTTATAGGTCCGACTAACGGTCAGTCTTTGAACAATGCGGAACCGATTGTTCTGCTTGTTTTTTTATATGGTAGAGCCATGCTGCAGTTACACTATGGCTGTAGCATGAATGGATCATCATTTATTAATCAAAACACAGTAAAAAATGTAAATAGTAAAACTTATAAAAATCTCTGGGCTGGGGCTCCCCAGTGCCAGCCAGCTCCTTCCATTTGATCGCATCCAGCGCAGAGATATCCGAATCGGCGGCGACCGAACTCTTTCCGATTGGCTTGACTAACTGGCACTGCGAAGAGATGTTGCATGTCTTTGCGTATTTTATCGCATTTACCACGGGGAGTGCTCTGAGGAATTGTTCGGAATAATTCCAGCTGCAAATATTCACCATCGCGACATCGCGACAAAACTCGCGATACCATTCATACCGTCTGGATGACTGGCGGTCCACCACTGTGCGATTTAAAAGAAGTTTTCTTCCTCGCACAACTTCGTACGACTTAGAGACATTCAAGAAAAGAGCGTACTCCTTTTTAAGACCAGGAATTCCCCTGGTGTTGCAGTTGTTCATGGGCGGCGGTAATCACTTATCATCAGGTGAGCCGTATGCTCGTTTGTTCCCTTTTCTATATAAAAAAAAAAAATAATCATCCTTCGAGAAAAATTCAAAAATTCTTCTCCCAAATATTTTAATTACCCAGACGCGCAAATTTTCTCACGATGTTTCTATTAAATGCCAAGCATGTGTTAAAATGTTAAAGAAAAAATATTATGGTTTGTAATGGTATCGCTTCTCCACCAGACTCGAGTGGCACGTGTACACAGTGTAATTTAGCTAACTAAATGATACAGTATAGATACGTGTAAAGTAGTCGAAACTAAATTACACAGTAGCTGTTCTATATGTACACAAACACATTCATAATTACAAAACCCTGTAATGTATGCGAATTGACACGTGCGTACAGTAATTTGTGTAAATTGACTCGCACGACGCGCCGGTTTCCTAATCGCGAAGGGCGCGCTACGCCGACGTCATTAGCAAAAACTTTGTTTTGACTGTTTAATCTAACATTAGGCTTTGGTCAAACATTTGGCTGGCCGAAGGCCGAATGTGTAACCGAAGGTGCTTTTTTGGCCGAAAGTCGAAGCCGAGGTTAAGACATTGGTTGGTAACCAAAAATATGTGACATAAATGGCACTATCTTTCACCGAGAATAAGGGTCTTGACAGACAGACAGATTGAAGTACGGAAATTAGTGACTTATAAGGGTTCCGTTTCTTCCTTTTGAGGTACTCTACTTATATTGCATGTTGAACCAATCCGTCAAAATTTATTACATTGTTCGTTTTACGTTCGGTTTGTCAGGTAGAAATCGCTTAAAGCGATATGACCACCGTTTGTAGTTCTTAAGTTTTCTGTAATTGTAACCACTTTGTATAAATGCAATAAAGAGTTATCTATCTATCTATCTACTCTAATACGGAACCCTAAAAACATTATAATTAAATGATGTGTACTTTTGCATTGTCATTGTATTTATAATTTTTATTAATAAACTTCTTAAATCTTGTAAAGTCTTGGTCTGTTGTCTTATAATACTATAATTTAATAAGTTTACTCATGGTCAACCGACTAATGGTGGTGTAAACCACGGACGAAGAATGGTTATTCAATATATTGTCCCATGGCTAAACCCATTAGGGGTGATACTGGGAAATAAACTAGGAAATGGGTAGCCGTGTCTTCCTAATAATAACTAAAATAAAAAAACTACGGTTGCCAACCGTTTACATAGCGTGGTCACTATGGAAAATTTGCAGCAG